TGGACGATGGAAGGTAATGAACTTAAATGCGCTGTGTTGACTTCAAAAATTTTAGATTTCTAGAGATACGGTTATTACTGAACTGAAAGCTGATATCCTGAATTTGGAAATATCTATGCTTATTTGAAAGACCCCGAAAGCTTTGAGCATACAGATATCGAAGCGATAAGAAATAGAGCAAAAAAACTATGAAATAATAGATAATTTATTATTCTATACGAAAACAACAAACGAAAATCTTGAGTATAAGCCAGTCATCCCAGCCTCGCTTCGATTAAGCATTTTGAAGGAGTTGCACGAAAAAAAAAACAGCGGGCCACCTCGGGGTCAGGAAGACTATAAAAAGGGTACGCGAGGCGGTATATTTCCCGCAATTATACAAAATAGTAACGGCGTATGTCAGGTCCTGCAATCAATGTCAGTTAATAAATGATATTAATTACAGCCCGGCCGGGTACTTAAATAGCATTCGCGCTACATTTCCGAATGAAATTTTAGGCATAGATCTCCTTGGTCCCTTCCCCCAGAGCGAGTTAAATAAAAATCGTTTTCTTTTAGTAATAGTAGATCATTTTTCAAAATGGATAGAAATTGTTCCACTTAAACGCGCGTCAGCCAAAACAGTCGCAGATGCATTCTTACACAGATACATTTTAAAATACGGTGCACCGATAAAAGTCATTAGCGATAACGGAAAACAATTCATTAGTCAAATATTTGAAAACATATGCAATGGACTTGATATACGCCATATCAAAATGGTTCCGTATAGACCACAGGCTAACATAGCAGAAAGAGTTAATAAAAAACATTGTAAAAATAATTCGCAGTTACATTAGCACACATCACAAGCGCTGGGATGGCTACATAAATGAATTAGCTTATGCTTTAAGAACGGCACATCATGATACTACGGGAAAAACTCCAGCAGAATTATTTTTAGGCCGAAAGTTAATTACGCCTTTAGATAAATTATTCTTGTGCAAACAAAGAGAGCAGGAATTAGACAAAAGGACGTGCAAAAGCTAATTGATCAGGCACTTAAAAAACTCGGATACGGCAAGAAAGAAATAGACAGAAAATTTATTATGATAGAAAACGCCGTGAAGCAGATTTTAAAGTTGGGGATAAAGTATTGAAACGGAAATTTTCTTTATCAAGTGCCCCAGACAATTTTATGGCAAAGCTAGCTCCAAAGTTTGAAGGCCCCTATGTAATTCAGGAAATCAAAGGAGTAGTCTTATATCTTAAAAACGAGAGAGGGGAAATCTGTAAAGCAAGTCCCGACCAGGTGAAAAAATACTATAATCCAAATGATTTTGAAATCCTTAAAAGTTTCTTGCAGGACTCAAGTCTAAACGAAATAGAAGGGCCAGAGACTGCAACAACTATTCCACCACCCAAGAAAACGGAGAACTGAAGAGAGACCTAGCACTTCTACAACCCGGACGTCGGTATCAAAAGAAAAGAGGATTTTCAAACTCCGGCGTTTAAGAAAAACAAAAATACAGATGAACCGGGTAAAGAAACCGTGGTAAAGACGAAAACAACCACTACAAAAGATGGCAGGAGAAATTACACATCAAGGAGAACGCGCACACGGCCACAGAGTCAGGTGCCAGCAAGGCCGCCGTTCCGGAAACTGAAACGCCAACAGGAGGCACAAAAATACGACGAACAGAAGAAAAGAAATTCAAGAAGGACTCCAGACCGGAGGACGTCACGACCAGCCGTCCCAGGCAGAAACGCAAAGGCCAACAACCAGACGATTACTCCGTCAAGAGGCCAGCATGTAGAGGACGCAAAAGAAAGAGCAACGGGGACGACACTCGGAGATCAATAAGGAGAAGATTGACATCCATGACACCTCTAACTTGGGATCAATTTTGTCAAAAACGGATGACGGAGTTTCAAGCATCGAAAACTCAAAGATAAGTTAAAACCTTCTATAAATTTTTTTTCTCTTTTGTTCCGAAATGTTAGGCATAAGTACGAAGTTCTATGTTTTGACGAAAGTCAATATGTCTCGGTTGAGACTTAGTTTTGTTTTACTTTATTTAGCTAAGGCAAAAGTATTATTTTCTTTAAGTGTAAAAGCTAAAAACAAGCATTTTCTGTTGGTCGAAAGACTAATTCTGTTATGTTGAAGCCAAAATTTGGCCGAACATAAAAATAACTTCGTATTCTTGTATTAATAAGAATTTTAGTTTCAGTGCCGCCAGCTTGGCGAAGAATGAGTAAAGTAAAAATTTATTTTCTCTTATTCATTTTTATGGTAAATTGTAAAAAGCATATGTATTAAACTTTTGTAAATGTATGTAAATACTTGCATGTTATGTAAAAGTAGAATTTAGTCTAGAAGCATAAAATTGTAGATGCTAAAAGTGAATGCTTAAAAGCAATGAAGTATTAAACTGTAAAGTCATGCTTTAGAGCGAAAGCCTGCATGTTTAAAGATGAATGAGGGGGAAGTTAGAATGAATGTGTTTTGTAGGGTTCTCCACCTACATTTGAATTTTTAAGACTATTAAAGTAGCTCATTGAGTTGTAGAATGTCGAGTAAGGTGTGTCTATTTGGTTGTTGAATTCTAACAAATCATGGTGGTTAGGGGAAGTGTTGTGTAAGACTAAAACCGAATATTCCCGTTTGACACCACCACATGGTGGAGAGCCAGGGTATAAAGTTAAATTAATGCTTGAAAAATTGAATGAATGTGAAGTAAGCAATAACTAAGAAAAACGAAACGTTAAAAACAAAAATTTATTGTGTCAAGAAGTGTAAATTATAATGTATGTAGAAAGATACTGATACTTATTCCTTCCAGATGCTGGAAGGAAAGACCAAGATTGATTGATGAAGTCCAGGAAAAGTTGCTGTAAGAAGAAAGCTTTGTAACGAGCAAAAGAATTTTAGTATATAATTGTTACATAAGATTTTTTTTGTGTAAACGAGGCTTTCGCCAGTTAGTTCAGAATTAGATAAACTTACAACAGGTCGTTTGTAGGACCTGCTTCCAAGTTTTCCAAATTCTGGCAGCGGCAAATGTAGGGTTTATATTTATTTTAACTAACATTTATTTTACTTAAGTTTAAACTATCTTTCCTGTCAAGCCTTACTTTCCCCTGGAACTGCCAATGCCAGAATATGTAAATTTTAGTAGAACGCGCAAGCATTCAAATTATCAGCGGAAGTAGTATGATTTAAATAGAAGGAAACGAGTTCGGTGAGAGAGTTATTCTTACTTAGCGAGCGCGGTGGTAGAAATCGAGAATTGAAGAAAGAACCCCGCGTTGCGGCCTATGTGCTTGGCGGGAAGTAGTTTGGCAATTGTTCCAGTGAGCTTCAAGTCTGCTGAATTAGCTGCGGTATTGTAAAAAACGCGGTGTGAGTTAGTTATTTTAGAGAGCCTCGTAGTTAGAGAATCTTGTCTTTTTACTTTCTTTTCAGGTTCTTATTTTATTTTGACTGCCTAGTGGGGCACAGTCTGTAAGCGTCAAGAGGACGCCATTGTAATTTATTACGTTGAATAAAAAGGGACTTAAACCCTTTATAAGACTCTGTGGTTTATACAAGCTTTCACAGTCACCTCTTGGTTGCGTGCTAGTTAGAGGCACGCAACGTTATAAATTTAATTAACTTTAAATTTGCTTTATATGAATAGAGAATGTTTTTTAAATCTATATTATATATATATATATGTATATCTGTTAACAGTTGGCTATCAATCAGGATGACTATTTTTTATCATGAGATATTTTCTTAAAGTTTAATTTCTTAAAAACGCAGGAGATTATATTCCAACCTGCAACTGTGCCTTGCATAGGAGAGGCAGGAGATATTTTCATTTAATATTAGAAAGTTTTTGCTAAGTTCTATCATACAAAATAGCTAAAAGTGAAAATTTCTGGAAATGCTGCTTTCAGTGTGCAGTTGAGGATAGTCTGATAGTGCAGTGATGGCGAACCTATGGCACGCAACTAAAATATTACTTCCTTAATCAATAATCACAATAAAGTGATACTATGTAATTTAAATAAGCATTTTAGTCTGTCCTTGAACGTTTCACTTACTTACGGCACTTTAACACCAATCACAAGATTGTTGCCGAACTTGATGAAGCTGAACAGAAGGTGCTTATTGAAGGGAAATTGAGGAATTATAATAACCAGAAAGTTGGTTTTTGCAATTATCTTTTTAAAGCAAACCAACGGCCAGCTTTCAAATTTTACTGTGCCTGGCAAAACATGGTAAACCGCTCTCCGATGGGAATTTAATCAAAGAGGTTTGGGTTCGCCACTACTGTGATAGTGGTGTGTATATATAGTGTATATAGTACTGTGATAGTGGTGTATATAAGCAGATATGTATTTGCCAGATGCATTATGATAGATGATTGATTTGTATTATTCCCAAATATTAGTGTATGTAGTGTTGATGTGTTTAAAAAAAATCCCTAAAATATATCAAAATAAGATTTCGCACAAAAAAAGGCTGCCCTAATAATCCAATGACTCAATTAAACAGAATCAAGTGTGCCACTCATTAGCTAAAAATAAAAGTGATATTTTGCCTCTCAGGCAATTTTTAAGATATATTGTTTGCAATAAAAATATTAATTTTTTGTAATTATTAGTGCAAGAATATTTTTATTCTATTCTTGCACTAATAATTACAAAAAATTAATATTTTTATTGCAAGAAAAGTAATCTGTCAGATACAGTACTTTTCTTGTACTATTGAATCTACTAAAAAAAATTCTATATATAGAATCATATTTTACCTTTCTCAAAGTGAAGCTCACACTTTCAAATGCTTTTGCTTTGTTAATTATGCTTTTTTACTGCATTACATATTTTACAAGTACATTGTGAAAAAATGTAAAACTATATAGCTATCATAATTATCTATATATAGCATTGCAATAATATTATAATGATTAACTGTTTAATATATTTAACACTGCAGAATCACTTATCTTACATATTTTGTTTTTTTATAGGAAAGGAGAATGTATCTTCCCCTTGCAGAATTTGGTAGTACTTTATTTTTCTTTATGAGAGAGCTTCGTAAGCTCAATACCATGTATTGCTTCAGCCTTACTTCCTTTTTTAAAATGTTCCATTTAGCCTTGGAAACAACTACGGTAATTATTATTATTTTAATGGTCTTTTGGAAAGCAATTAAATTCATTATTGGTTGTTTCTGTTGTGCTTCTAAGTAATCTGAATAACATTTATATTGAACTATTCTCTAATTTAAATAAATTTCAACCTCCTTCCTTTTCTGATTTCAGCAACTAATACTTCTTAAGTAGAAGCATTTCCCCCCCCCTTCTTAAATCTTTTAGAGAAATTTAAATTAACAGAAACAGATGAAATATTATACAGTACAAAGTCTTTAATCCGGACGTCCATAGTCCGGAATGATCTATAATCTGGACCGAAAAGCTACAAACTTTCTGCGCATGGGTAAATGCATAATGCGTTTACGCATGCGCATAATATCATTACGCATACGCATATGCGTTTAATTTATAACGGACGGTATAAGTTAGGCTAAAACTATCTAATTATCTATTTCAGTTACTGTTGCAGATTGCGTTATTCCTTAATCTTCTAATTGGATCCGGCTTATTATTTTTTGCAGACTGTCAGAGCATTTTTATAAAAAGTAAGCTTGAACTTTCGATTATGTCAAAAAGAGTTTCCTATTCTGGAGCTGCCAAAGGATCTATAAAGCGAAAGCATGTTTCGATGTACCGCTTCCAATAGTGAAGAAAGTGACAGAGAGGTTATTGAAAACGAAAAAATTTCGATTGACAAGTTAGTCTTTATTCTCGACACAGCAATTACAGGACTTGAACAGTGGAACTGAACAAGAAATTGTGTCTGTTTATAGAATTAAAGAGAATGCATTTGCACAAAAAACGAAGCAACTTAAACAACTTACTTTGAAAGAAATGTTTAATAAAGTAAACAAATAAATATTAAGTTTTTTTTTTTTTTTTTTTTTTTTTTTTTTTTTGTAAATTTGATACCTTTTAGATTATAATTGCTCTTTATTTCATAAATTACGGTTTCATATTTTTAATTTTATAATTCTGCATGCCATCTTACCAGATTTAATTGATGATCTATAATCCGGAAAAACCCCTAATCCAGAATCGCCGAAGTCCCGATTAAAGACTTTGTACTGTATGTGGAAAAATAAAAAATGAGAAGTATATATATATATATTAAATTATTCTACTATATTTAGTTTAGTAAACTAATGGATCATAAAACATACATTTTTCTACATTTTAATTTTAGGATAAATATTCATTCATAAATTTCATTGCCTTTACTGAAGGAAATGAAATTAAAAACCAGAATAGAATACTTAGCGTAATAACTAAGGAGTGTATATAATTAACTGCATTTCATTTTGGCAGCACTTTGAAACTGATTTCACGTTATAACTAAAAAGATAGGAAATGTTATTATTTATTAATAATATGTGAATTATTGTAAATCGGTATGTTGTGATAGTTCTTGTGCATTTTCTGCTAAAAACTGCAAGTAGATATAGCCATATTGATTATAAGATTAATCCTGTTCTAGGAATATAGGGTTTCAGGCATGCATGAACACAGTCCCCCCCCCATGTTGACAAAATGAGCTTAAATGTTTCATGATCCACTTTATAGGCTTAACATTTCAAAGGTTTTTGTATAACTACAGTTTTCTTCTTGCTAACCTATGTCTGAAAAACACATATACAAAATCACATATCCCAAACATTACAAATAAATAACTCAAATTATTGTATTATAAATGTTTATGATGTTCATTTTTAATTCAAAAATTTATTAAGTATGGTATTTTAAGTATATTAATGCAAATATTTAGATATTTACCATCTGTTTTCCTGTGTATATTCATCGCTTTTACTTTTGTCTATATGTACAGGTTCCATCAGAAAAAACCTGTCGTGGAATAAATAACACAGACAACAGCAGTATAATAGTTACTCATATTTACAAATAGAAGAAGCATAATATAATATGTTATGTATTAATATAGAACTATCACAATAATGTACTCCAGTGAATATGACAGGAGTGCTTAGAAAAATCACATCACCACATCACTGCTGCCCACGTAATTTCCTAAGATTGCCGCCTCCAGATAAAAAAAAAAAAAAAAGAGGTGAATGATTAATAAAAATTTTATTTCATACTCACTAAGTATTTACGTTTGACAAATTGTATAAAGAATACTTAACATATGGCGAGTAGTTACAATGACTTTAAAATATTTAGGCGTGGTATCGTGAGAGTCCGGCCGTCCGCATAATTTTACATGCTGCAACCCCGCTAGGAATGGCCCTGCACATCACTTTATGACATCATACGGTGTTAATCATTCCTTTACAGTCAATAATTTTTATCTTTGTGAATAACTGAAAGCAAAGGTTTTCAGATGCATACTCAGCCTACTGGCAAATTCATTGATTTGAAACTGAAATAAAACAATAACTGAAGATTTGATCTTCAGAATTATGTTTCAAGATTGTATATAGCATAAGGGCAAACATTTACACAGTATAATTTTTAAAACAAAATCCTATGGTTTGATCATAATGTGCATATAGTATTTATATTATATGATAATGACGTGCAGTTATACATAATCAGTTGAGAACAGCAGTTATATACAATAATTCATTCATAGTAATAAATGGAATATAGTGATCCTTTCTTTTATGCAGTAAAAATGTACGTTGTACTTAAGCAACCTTTCTGAAGACGGTCAAGCGCATGATCAAAGCTAACCAAAGTGGCACAAAAGGCAGGGCTTAAATTGCGTCGGAGCCCACGAGCCCGGCTCTGGTACTTATCAGCTTTTAAGATTCATTCACAATTCTAGCCGTAGCGCACCAGAGACTTAAATAAGATGAGCTCCATTACTTCTTTTTATAAAACTAAACCACAATTTAAAAGAAAACAACAGCTTTAGAATTCGTAATATTTTACTTTAACAATAAGTAAGACCTTGCAATACTCTGTTTCCCTAACATACCGGCTAGAATTCATGAGAATATGAGACATTCTAAGGAAATCCCCTCATTCACATGTGGAAATCTTTCTGTATTCCGTCTAAGAAGTGCATTAAATTTACGAGAGATTGTTCACGACCGCGTAAATTTCTCATCATACCACCGTATCTAGTGTTTTGTTATCGATTGGTTGCAGTTAGTTATCCTCGTAGGAAGGGAAATTTGTGTTCTTAAATGTGCGTTAAGTGACAGCGAGTACAATAAGAGTGAAATACTGAGATAAACTGCTCAAGCATATCTTATACTATCGTCTTCCCACAGTATCCACTAACATAACCAAATACGGGAGGGTGGGGCTAAAAGCGTAACCAACAACTTTACGTTCATTCTTAGGAGTCAGATTCAGAACTCATTTTACCCCTGACACACATCCGCTTGATGGCTATAATTATATCAGCCCGCGGTATCTCTTACCCCCTCAATTTTTTTGTTTCCACCCACTCATTCCCTCACGTCCTCACTCTGTTTCGCCCTGTTTCTAGCATTATCTGAATTTTCATATACAACTATACTATAAATTTCGTTTTGTCATTTTGATTCGATTCACGATAACCGTTGTTTCGCTTTTCAAATTGTTGCCACCAAATATTATCGCCGTGTATTATATTTAAAGAAAATAAATAATGAAGAATCTTCATGAATGCATGTATGTTCTCGCACTGTGATAAAACCTAGAGCCATCCAATTTTAAACAACGTACATTTCCACCCGAATATGGGCATCTGGTAGCCCAAATTTGGAATTTGTTTTATTATCTATTTCATATTTTGTAACACTTCAACGAATTTTTTATTAACAAACTAAACGATTTCAAAGCGAGCAATGGCAACATTGCACGGGAAAAAAATTATCTCCAGCGCGCGGAACTCTGCGTCGAAAATTCTGAAGATATGCTCATTTTAAAATTATTTTGGGACATTGCTGTTGAACTGAATTTTATGGTTTGAGTACGTAGAACATGATATTTAATAAATAAAGGTAACAGACAAAACGTTAAAAAAAAAAGCCCTTTTGGACGTGATTTAAAATCTGAAACCTTTCAGATTTTATTTATTTTACGTTTTATTTTTTCTTTATTTTATTTTATTTAACTTTAATTTCTCGTAATTTAGTGTTTTATTTATTATTATTTTGTTCATACAATTTTTATATATCATTCCTAGCGGGTTAACAGGACTCCGGCACTTTTGATTTTAGAAATTAAGCCTTGAGTGAAGGTTCGACTAATGAACGTTAAATTAGAAAGAGTTTTAACATGAAAAGATGCGAGTTGCAGATTGCATTATTATGTTCATTGTCGAGACTCCTCTCTCACACTCTGCGCTAGAAACAAGTATACAGTTTACTGATGACAAAAGTTTTCTTAATGCAGAGTTTATTTGCTTACCGTTAGTGTCTTTAAAAATTCTGAATTGCCTTAAAGTTTCAAGTTCATTTAGGTGAAATGTTTTGCGCAACTTTCCTATTTCTCCTTCTCCACATGTTATATCAGGGGGTGAAAGAGGCCAAAATTTTGGGTTGAGTACTTTAATTTCTTTTATAACTTCTTCATATTCAGTGCCAATGTTTCGAGCACGAACAGACAGTAGTCTACTTTTCATCGAATGAGCAAGACAGTAGTTGTTGACAGTTGACAATACTGAATTTTGGGGATAGATTTCCCGCTTTTGCTAAGACTTTTACCTTTGAAATTCCTATTTTCAACAGACTCTGTTGTTTCGGAGGCGCACTTTCCATATTTCGAAGATCATGATTCAAATAATTGTATTTGCAGACATATCAGACGATGAGCATGAATAATAGTTGTTTTCCTGTTTTGCAACTCCAAAGATAGTTTCGATAATTCTTGAAGAGCATCGTACATGAGTCCAAGATTTAAAACAAATATATCCGTTTGTAAAATTTTTGCTAAGCCTGAAACTTTAGATCTTTCTTTTGAATCTCGTTTTACGTCTTTCAAAGAACTAGAAAAATACTAATTCAGAAGTCAAACAACAAAAATCAGCGTTATACCTACAAAATTTTCACAGGACTAGTTTCGATGGTTTTACCGAACCATCATCTTCAGCTGCAAAA